ATGATGTTATAACTTTTATAGATTACAGGATACTAATAATTTTTATACGTCCACATTCATAATGTGGACGTATATTGCTGTCCGTCTCCCCTGTGTGTGTGTGTGTGCCGCCTACAGGCCACAATTCTTAAGTGATCATCTTCAAACTTTACATACTTATTCCTTATACCCTAAGCATGATCCCTATTGTTTTTGGTGCATGCCCGACCCCTAGGGGCAGAGCCACGCCCATTTTTTGTATTCCTTTGTTTGTCATCTACAGGCCGCATTTCTTAATGTATCATATTGAGACTTTCCATTTTTATTCTTTGTACCCTAAGGAACATCCCTATCATTTGGGGTGCATGCTAAAACCCCAGGGGCAGAGCCACGCCCATTTTCTTTTTGTGTGCATGTGTGTCGCCTACAGGCCACATTTCTTAAGTGATTATCCTGAAACTTTACATACTTATTCCTTATACCCTATGGATGATCCCAATTATTTTTGGTGCATGCCCGATCCCCAGAGGCGGAGCCACGCCCATTTCAGGTATTTGTTTTTTTGTCCTCTACAGGCTGCATTTCTTAACGTATCATCTTAAAACTTTGCATACTTATTCTTTGTACCCTAAGGAACATCCCTATCATTTGGGGTGCATGTCCGACCCCCAGGGACAGAGCCACACCCATTTTCTTTTTGTGTGTCTGTGTGTCGCCTACAGGCCACAATTCTTAATCAATCGTCCTGAAAAAATTTTGTATGAATTCCTTATACCCTAAGGATGATCCCTATTGTTTTTGGTGCATGCCCGACCCCCTGGGAATAATCACGCCCATTTCTTGTATTTTTTTGTTTGTCTTCTACAGGACGCAATTCTTAACAGATCATTTTGAAACTTTGCATACCTATTCGTTATACCCTTAGGATTCCTCCTATTGTTTTTGGTGATTGCCCAACCCCCAGGGGAAGAACCACCCCCATTATTTTGTTGTGTCTCTGTGAGTTGCCTACAGGCCACGATTCCTAATGGATTGTCTTTGAACTTGGGATATGTATTCCTTATAGCTTAAGGACACCAACTGCATGTCCCGACCCCGAGGGGCAGAGCCACGCCCAATTTTTGTGTTTATCATTTACAGGCCAGAATTCTGAATGGATCAACTTGGTACTTGGCATATGTATTCCTTATAGTCTAAGGGTGTCAACTATTGATTTTGGTGAATGCCCCAATCCCCAGGGGCAGAGCCACGCCCAATTTTTGTCTTTAGCGCCCGAAGGCCACAATTCTGAATGGATTATCTTGGAACTTGGAATACTTAGTCCTTATATCCTAAGGACGGCAACTATTGATGTTGTCATTTCAATAACAGGGTATTTGTATTTATCATCTATCGTCTGAATGTATCATCTTGGAACTTTGCATATTTATACCTCCTGGGGCAGTGTAACACCCACGTTTTTGTTAGTAGTTTGTCTGTAAATTTGGCAAAACAAACCCAACACCTAGCCCTCTTTCTCTTTTATCATATTACAGCCATTTCATATTTCATGCTCTTCATTCTAATAAGTACCACATCAATCTTTCGAATCCCCGGTTGTACGTGGCAAGGAGTAGGGTCGCCTGTCCAACCTCGTGGGTTTTCTCCGGGTCCCCCGGTTTCCTCCCACTGCTAAAGACCCCTACGCGCAAGCAAATTATGTAAATAAAATTAAACCATATGTTAGTCCCGAAATGACCTAGTTTGTGTCGGGTGGACGTTAAACCCCATTTCTCTCTCTCTTCATTCTAATAAGTACCACATCAATCAAAGCTGGTATGTGGACGTATATTGCAGCGTTAGCGATGCTCTCGTTATATATTATAGGAAACTAATGATGTTGTAACATTTATATATTACAGGCAACTAATGATATTATAACTTTTATATATTCCAGGATGCTAATGATGATATAACTTTTATATATTACAGGATACTAATGATGTTATAACTTTTATATATTACAGGAAACTAATGATGTTATAACTTTTATATATTACAGGAAACTAATGATGTTATAACTTTTATATATTACAGGAAGCTAATGATGTTATAACTTTTATATATTACAGGAAACTAATGATGTTATAACTTTTATATATTACAGGAAACTAATAATGTTATAACTTTTATATATTACAGGAAACTAATGATGTTATAACTTTTATATATTAAAGGAAACTAATGATGTTATAACTTTTATATATTCTTGATGTTATAACTTTTATATATTCCTGATGTTATAACTTTTATATATTACAGGAAACTAATGATGTTATAACATTCCATCAATGTGTTGTATGTGATGAGATTTTCCAACAATATGATGATTTAGAAAAACACAATAAGTTGCATGTTAAAGAAGAGAAAACTGATGATGTTGATGAATATTGTCATGTTAAAGAAGAGCAAACAGATGATGTAGATGAATATTGTCATGTCAAAGAAGAGAAACCTGATGATATTGAAACTGTTTATCAGTGTAATTTGTGTGATGAAGAATTTAGATTAGAAACTGATTTAGAAAAACACTGTGAAATACATGTTAGTGAACAAGGGCAAACAGGAAAAAAACCTTATAAATGTGATGTTTATAGTAAATCATTTACACAGAGTTGTAATCATCACAAACACGTGAGAATTTGTGCTGGTGAAAAACCTTATAAATGTGATGTTTGTAGTAAATCATTTACTTATAAATGTAATCTACAGGCACATATCAGAACTCATACTAGAAAAAGATCTTATAAATGTGATGTTTGTAGTAAATCATTCTCTACTAGTAGTCATCTACAGCAACACATCAGAATTCATACTGGTGAAAAACCTTATAAATGTGATGTTTGTAGTAAATCTTTTTCTCAGACTGGTCATTTACAGGACCATATCAGAACTCACACAGGTGAAAAACCTTATAAATGTGATGTTTGTGGTAAATCATTTTCTCAGACTAGTACTTTACAAGGACACATCAGAACACATTCTGGAGGAAAACCGTATAAATGTGATGTTTGTAGTAAATCGTTTATTCACGGTAAATCTCTACGAAAACACATGAGAACTCATACTAGATAAAAAAAAAACCCAACAAAATATAAATGTGATTGGTAGCCATGAAGCTACCACATGTAGTTTCGTTCTTATGCAAACTCTTCAGGCTTTAGTGAGGTTGTAAAGCTGTTCCTTTTATATAGTTGTCGGGGACCGGAGCACAGTAGTAGTCTCCATTGGACCAGAGCAATACTGTTTCACCAGAGTTATTGTAATTGTGTATGACCAGAAAGTTGGCTAAAGAATTGCTGTAATAAAAATGGTTATTTGTATAGAGATGTTATAGATCAAGACAATATAACATTTACATAATAGAACGAGAATAGAACGAGAATACTTGATCAAATACATGTATATAAATAAAAATTGTGATTTAGCTTATATTATATTTACCGACACCGTAATTAAAAATTAGAATAGTTCTGGATAATCTATATAGAAGTTGTGATTTAGATAAAATTATATGTAATTAGAAATTAAAACAGTTCTGGGTAATCTTGATAAAAGGAAAACTTTTGTAAAAGTCTTTTTAAATAAATTTGTCTTTAGTTTTTAAAGTATCAATAGCAGTGACATTATGAATTTGAATTGGTCATTTATTCCAATAAAAAATATGTCGTTGATTCCATAAAGTAGTTAGATTTTTAAACGTTAAATATTGTGTTGAGTGTGAAATTCAGACCAAAACTGCTGGACAAAATGGGTGCCCTTCGTACTTGTGAACTTTCTCAACCAACACCTGAAGGGGACCTGCGACCTCCAGGCTAGCGAGCCAGCATCTTACCCACTTAGCCACCGTAGCTCTTATTAAAGTACAACAGAACTAGGTAAAATGTGGTATATATAATGATTATAGGCTGATCTTACTGTATCGTGTTAGCGTGATACACGAGAACAATAGGCAGATATAACAGTTGTATCGTGGTATAGCATATAATGGCCATGCCATCTAGAGTTAATTATGGTCTGGATAGGTTAATTAATGTCTAATAAATAAATTAGATAACATTTCAGGCCTAAAGAAAGATCTGCAATAGACAGATTTAGCTCTTGCATAATGTATGTTGTTTAAGCTACCATTATACGAAAAAGATGAAATTCAACAACCAGTTTTCTACCGAATTTTAAGCCCTTTTTCAGTCGAAAATCATGTCAAAGTTTCATGACCATAATAGGATCAAAACCGTTTTACAGAACGCAAATGTTGGGCTACTGTTATCTTGGGGGATTAGGTGGCTGAAAGGTTTGCATGTGAGCTCTGTCATAAGGCCTGTCATTGAGTCAACTATCGTGGTTTTGAATCCCCGGTTGTACGTGACAAGGAGTAGCGTTGCCTGTCAAACCTTGTGGGGTTCCTCCGGTTTCCACCCACTGCTAAAGACCCCCACGCGCAAACGAATTATTCAAATAAAATTCAAACCATATGTTAATCCCGAAAAGACTTAGTATGTGTCAAGTGGACTTTAAACCCCATTTCTCTCTCTCACTGTTATACTGGCCCCGAATTCTACCAGGTTTTTTTACATATCAACTCATTGTACTTTCGTATCATCCTCATATTTTATTATACCACGTTTTACCTGCCACATTTTATTAGATATCTACCCCCTATTCCAATATACCACGTAGGGTCTTTTTTATCGGGGGTTTACATGTCGCCTAATGTCTGTCCATTTAGAGGTTTTTCAAATAGGACATATTTTCTTAGCAATGCAGACTGCATTTGAATAAAGCAAACATCCGAGAACTCAGAGGCGATATTTCGAAAAAAAAAAAAAAAAAAAAAACCCTCAAAGATGATGCAATCAGAACTTATATTTAAATGAAATGTAATTCCATTGAAGTAGGAGTTGTGAACTATTCGGGTTGGAGAGATCCGGGACTTTATTATGTATACAACCTACTACCGGAAGCTGACGTCACTTTATTATCGGCCGAAGACTAATTTAGTGAATAAAGGCCTATTTACTTGACTTTCAGTTGTAGAAGAGACAGATCAGCAATCCTGTGTTACAACTGCAGCTTCACAAATAGACAATTGTCAACAAAATAATGGTGAAGTGATTTTAGATTAAACAAAATAAAACAACGATTATTATTTTAATACAAAATAGTGCTTCCGGTCAAAGTTTTAAATGAACCATATGTTATTGTTAGTCCCGAAATGACCCAGTGATTACGTTTCGAGTGTAAGGAAAGATTTGTAATATAAGAATCTTCAAAGAAAAAAATTGAATTAAACAGTTAGAAGGTTTAATGGATCCATGTGATTTAAAGCGTCGACACATGGATCCAAAATTTTCACAGTCTACAACAGAATACAATACAGAACAGCTGTATTCATCCGCAAAAAAAAATAGTACCTAAAATTCATGTACATTATATAGGTTTAAACGTCAAATGAATAGAGACGTCTTTAATATATACTAAATATTCGTATCATCCCAAATCGACAATAAAACAGTGAGAAAAAGGAAAATCTAAGTAATGGCAATCTAATTAACATAAAATTTACGACATAATCGATTCTTCAATGTTTTGATGGTGATCATGAAGAAAATACATCTGTTCTCAGGAATCCGATAAGATTTTCAAAAAAAAGATCACTAGAATTATAGATTGTTATTCCACAAAGTCGAAAGGTATGTTAGATTTTTCATTCAGTCAAGTTAGAGCGAGTTTATTGCCATCTTTTGAGCTCCAAACCCAATAGAAATGAAGGCGGAAGTGGCCATAATAGTTTTAGAGATCACTACGTGATGGCGCTCCTGCGTCGCGACAAACGGGGCCGATTTGTCTAGTTTGTGTCGAGTGGACTTAAAGAGTGGACTTAAACCCTCTCTCTCTCTCTCTCTCTCTCTCTCTCTCTCTCTCTCTCTCTCTCTCTCTCTCTCTCTCTCTCTCTCTCACTCACACACACACACACACACACACACACACACACTCACACACCAAGTCTTACATAGATGCCTGAATATACACTCTACGACCGTCAAAATTTCTAATTTTAATAACTATCTTTGTTTTAGCGCATCAAGTCCATATAATCAAACTTTTTATTTCAAATATCCATCACTTTTAGAGTTTTGTTATGGAGTAACATCATAAACATCATGGATGAAACATGGAAAATAGTAAATACTGCATCAAAATTTCCTTGAAACTGCTTTCGTTTTTTGCTATTTTTATAGGCCTAATGAACACACATTGTTAATATTTTTATGACTTCTAATTCACCCTGGAATCATAAAGACACACTGACAATTAAACAGTGGACGTATTTACTGGGTTTTAAATTAAAATATTTTGTTATAAATTTTATACAATATTGATTTATTCACACTCAGTGTTTATTCTTTGTTAAATTGTACACTAAAAAGCCATAATTCAATGTTGGAAATGTCCAGATGAATGTTTGATGGAAACATTGTACTCCATAGAAATGAATTTGCCATGACACCTCCTTTGTATTCAGATATGAATTAATCTTATTCTGCAGTTGTTTAGATTAGAAATTTAAGAAATTTTATTTGCTCATTGATTTTAGCATAAGGTCTAGGGACGTTAAACATTTGGAGACAAAGACAAATCATTCACAATATTTACGTTTATAAAACGATTCAAAGTGTTGTATTACTAACTGGAGATAATAGCTGTCCCCAACTTTTATCATTTTGTCTGTAGGTGTAACGGCGATTGGGAAAAAAATGATGAAGTTGAAATTTTTGTCTACATGACAATGTGCAAGTGTACGATTTAAAGGGGTATTGACTGTGAAATAGTGTTTTGTGATTGATATAATTTATTTTGGGCTTTTGTATCGAAGGGGGGGGGGGGGAGGATAGCTGAATGGTTAACGTGTGCACGCTGTATCATAAGGTCTGTCATTGAGTCGACTGGCATGGTTTCGAATCCCCGGTTGTACGTGACAAGGAGTAGGGTCGCCTGTCCAACCTCGTGGGTTTTCTCCGGGTCCTCCGGTTTCCTCCCACTGCTAAAGACCCCTACGCACAAGCGAATTATTGAAATAAAATTAAAAAAAACATATGTTAGTCCCGAAATGACCTAGTTTGTGTCTAGTGGACGTTAAACCCCATTTCTCTCTCTCTCTCTCTGTATCGAAGGGCCACTATTCTGTCTTGGAAAGACACAAACTAGGTCATTTTGGGACTAACACACTGTTCATTTTTATTTCAATAATTTGCTTGCACGTAGGGGTCTTTAGCAGTGGGAGGAATCCGGAGGACCCGGAGAAAAATGCACGAGGTTGGACAGGAGGCACTACTCCATGTCACGTACAACCGGGGAAAGGAAACCCCGCCAGTTATTCAATGATAGACCGTATGATACAGCACGCGCGTACTAACCATTCGGCCATCCAAGTCCCCCTGTCTTGGAAAATAATATATTCAGTCTTGTTGGTGTTGAGACTAGTTTGCAACAACATTGTGTCACTTTACCTTGCCAGTAATGAATAAAATACAATGTTTGATTGGGCCATAGCAGTGGACACACTAGCTGAATCATTTGGCAGAAAAAAATTGCTTAATGTGTCCACTGTCATTTGGCCGAATGAAACACCTTTGATGTTTATCTTTTTTATATTACAGGACACTAATGACGTTATAACTTTTATATATTACAGGATACTAATAATGTTATAACTTTCATATATTACAGGAAACTAATGATGTTATAACATTTATATATTACAGGATACTAATAATGTTATAACTTTTATATATTACAGGACACTAATGACGTTATAACTTTTATATATTACAGGATACTAATAATGTTATAACTTTTATATATTACAGGAAACTAATGATGTTATAACTTTTATATATTACAGGAAACTAATGATGTTATAACTTTCATATATTACAGGAAACTAATGATGTTATAACATTTCATCAGTGTGTTGTATGTGACTCAATTTTTCAACAATATGATGATTTAGAAAAACACAATAAGATGCATGTTAAAAAGGAGAAAACTGATGATGTAGATGAATATTGTCATGTTAAAGAAGAGAAAACTGGTGACGTAGATGAATATTGTCATGTTACAGTTGAGAAACCTGATGTTGTAGATGAATATTGTCATGTTAAAGAAGAGAAAACTGATGATATTGAAACTGTTTATCAGTGTAATTTGTGTGATGAAGAATTTAATTTAGAAACAGAGTTAGAAAAACACTGTGAAATACATGTTAGTCATCAGCAAGGGCAAACCGGCGTAAAACCTTATAAATGTAATATTTGTAGTAAATCATTTAGTAAGAAAAGTATTCTACAGAATCACAGTAGAACTCATCCTGAAGTAAAACTTTTTAAATGTGATGTTTGTAGTAAATCATTTACTAGCAGTAGTCATCTACAGAGACACATCAGAATTCACACTGGTGAAAAACCTTATAATTGTGATGTTTGTAGTAAATCATTTACTAATAGAAGTCATCTACAGACCCACATCAGAACTCATACAGGTGAAAAACCTTATAAATGTGGTGTTTGTAGTAAATCATTCACTCAGAGTAGTAATCAACAGAAACACATGAAAACTCATACAGGTCAAACACCTTATAAATGTGATGTTTGTAGTAAATCATTTAGTGAGAATTTTAGCTTACAGATACACATGAGAATTCATACTGGTGAAAAACCTTATAAATGTGATGTTTGTAGTAAATCATTCGCTATGAGTAGTAATCTATATAGACATATTAGAATTCATACTGGTGAAATACCCTTTAAATGTGAAGTTTGTGGTAAATCATTCACCACTAGTAGTAATCTACAGAGACACATAAGAATTCATACAGGTGAAAAACCTTATAAATGTGATGTTTGTAGTAAATCATTCAGACAATGCAGAAGCCTACAGTCACACATCAGAATTCACACCAGAGAAAAACCTTTTAATTGTGATGTTTGTAGTAAATCATTTACTGAAAGTAGTCATCTACTAACACACATAAGAAGTCATACTTGTGAAAAACCATATAAATGTGATGTTTGTAATAAATTATTCACACGTGGTAGAAACCTACAAAGACACAGAAGAATTCATAGTGTAGAAAAATCAATACAATTGTGAATTTTGTAGTGAAACAATCACTCTAGTGATGGTCTCTCATACGGTTACTATCGTTGATATATATATCGGCCGATACAGGTACAATTACCGATAGTGGTGGATATAAAACTATCAGATATTGACAGAGAAATATATCGGTTGATACAGAAACCGATAGTGGTGGATATAAAACTATCGGATATTGACAGAGAAATATATCGACCGATACAGATACAATTACCGATAGTAGTGGATATAAAACTATTAAACATTAAAGTGCCCCAAATGTCATGATAATCAATGTAGAAATGTCTGGTGCTATTTTATCTCGAGAATTAAACACAAACATTTATCGTGAACTTAATTATTTGCTGTATGATTAATTAATAAAGTTGAGATTATCAGTTATTAAATGTTGATTACGATATAATTCCCTAAATTGATCAACACCTGTATGTCTATCACAGATGTCAGAATGAGTAATGATACAACATCAACAGTAGCAATCATATGACATTCTCTCGTCATTTCTGTAACTGGAGTTGAAAAAAACCCCATCTATTGGGAACTTAACTTATGTGTTTGTAATATTATGAATTAATAAAGTGTAATCTATATTTTATGAGTTATTAAATGTTCATAACGATACAAATTATGTCTACATTTTTAAAGTCTGATCTATATTATGAGTTATTAAAAGTACATAACAATACTTATCACTAAATTATGTCAAAATTTTTTATCAGCATCTATAAGCCTGTATGCCAGATGTAGTTCTGACAGTAATCATGTGACATCAATAAGCCTGTATGTCAGTAATCAATAAGCCTCTATGCCAGATGTAGTTCTGCGGAGTAATATGATTTGGAACTATTTCATGATCAGCTACAGTGATCAAAGTAAGGCCAAATGTAAGACTTGCAACGCTTCAATTTCCCGACACAATACCAGCATAAATAATTACAAATCAAATTTGATAAACCATCTACACTCGAACCACGGGATAGAATTTGCCGAATTCCAATGTATGTTAATGTCTGTTTGCACATGTGCAGAAATGGTATTCTTGAAAAAATGCATTGAGATACCCAAACTCTTAAACCAATATCAAGTAGACCGGTAAGGACTTTGCCCTTTTATTCTTTTTTTTTTTTACCTCCTCTATGAGAGTCTTGTATTATGGGAGCTACGGTGGCTAAGTGTGTAAGACACAGGTGCACTAGCCTGGAGGTCGGGTGTTCAATCATTGAAATGGCAGACGTGGTTTTCCCTGGTCAGTAGTGATGGACGGAGGGCCTGACGAGGACAGCTGTCTAGTCATTCGCATGGGACAGAAAACTGAGCTCCAGTGTATACATTGGCATGCAAGTAAAAGATCCCTTGGCAGTTGGTATTTGATATAAGAGTAGGCCTGGTCAAAATATCCCTCATAGCACACTGTAATGCATGTGCCCGTCTTTATTTGCCTAGTCGGAGCAGAACAGTACGACGTTAAACCCCATTTCATTTCATTTCGTCTTGTATCATGTCTAAATAGCCTCGCACACGGCAACTAAAATAAAAGTACCGATTGTCAAGCAAAATAATGAGTTGTTCACATCTCGAATGATATTTTAAACAGATATTAGCGACTCCAGTATCGGCAAAATGGTTGAGTATCGGCGGTACCGATTTCAATCAATAGGCCAATTATCGGCCAATTACCGTTGCTGGAACCAATTATCGGACTATCTTTAATTCACACAGGGTGAAAACCTACTGGAGAGAAACCCTTAAAATGGGTACAGGACAATTCGTCCCCTGACAACTCGTTCCCGGACAATTCTTCCCCTAGGACTATTCGACCCCAGATAATTCGTCCCTGGATAATAAGTCCCCTAGGACTATTTGTCCCCTGACAACTCGTTCCCAGACAATTCTTCCCCTAGGACTATCGTCCCCTGACAACTCGTTCCTGGACAATTCTTCCCCTAGGACTATCGTCCCCTGACAACTCATTCCATGACAATTCTTCCCCTAGGACTATCGTCCCCTGACAACTCGTTCCCGGACAATTCTTCCCCCAGGACTATCGTCCCCTGACAACTCGTTCCCGGACAATTCTTCCCCTAGGACTATTCGACCCCAGATAATTCGTCCCTGGATAATTAGTCCCCTAGGACTATTCGTCCCCTGACAACTCGTTCCCAGACATTCCTCCCCTAGGACTATTCGACTCCAGATAATTCATTCCTGGATAATTAGTCCCCTAGGACTATTCGTCCCCTGACAACTCGTTCCCGGACAATTCTTCCCCTAGGAATATTCGACCCCAGATAATTCGTTCCTGGATAATTAGTCCCCTAGGACTATATGTCCCTTGACAACTCGTTCCCGGACAATTCTTCCCCTAGGACTATTTGACCCCAGATAATTCGTCCCTGGATAATTAGTCCCCTAGGACTACTTGTCCCGTAGGATAATTAGTCCCTGGATAATTTGTCCCCAAAGACAATTCGTCCCTGGACAATTCGTTCCCTAGGTCTATTCGTCCCCTAATTATAATCAACAGCTAATTCTAAAGAAATTGAAGAAGTTGAAACTAACTGATGTCTGGTCTACATTGTTTTATCATACAGAAGAATGCATATTGATTTTAAGTCAAGTGCAGTATTGACACAGAACAATACCCATAGTGAAGGGATAAATAGATTCTCTAACTCACAAAAGGTGTCACTGATCATAGCGGATTACTACATGCATATCAATTAGCCTGAAAAAAACTCCATGAACAATTAAGTTAAGGCCTATATTTAATACTAAATGTAAAACGATGTAAAGCTAGCATCAAAACTGGGATTTAGGATAAAAAGTAAAGATTAATTCAGTTTTTGATAATGGAACTACCAGTATTGTTGTTCAAGGGACAAAAAGCCCTAGGGGACGAATTGTCTGGGGACGAATTGTCCTCAGGGACGAGTTGTCTGGGGACGAATTGTCCGAGGACGAATTTTTCAGGGACGAATTGTCCTAGAGTCCTTTTAAATATCATGCTTTTCATAGTTGTATTGTACGAACTGAATTTAAACTCACTGTTAAATCGATAAACATCCTGAACTAAGCTTTAATCTGTAAGATGTGTTATTCTGAAGCAGAGTATTTCAAACAAAAAAACCCAACAAACTGACGAAAGGTTGCAGGGCTGGTCAAATAAAATAGACTGAAGAAAGGTTGCAGGACTGGACTGATGAGAGGTTTCACGGCTGGTCAAATAAAACAGAGACTGGTTAAAACTATCAACAATATGAGAACACATTATGGTGACTTCTTGAATTATCTACTGACTCCAATCTACTGACGTGATTGTCACAAAATAAAACATAACCTTTAAGGTAATATAGCTTTATGCTATTTAGGATTAGCCTTAAATGAGCTACTGTAATATAGCTTTAAAGTAATATAACTTTAAAGTATCTAAGGTAATATAGCTTTAAAGTATCTAAGGTAATATATTACTTTAAAGTATCTAAGGTAATATAGCTTTAACGTATCTAAGGTAATATAGCTTTAAAGTATCTAAGGTAATATATTACTTTAAAGTATCTAAGGTAATGCAGCCTTAAAGGATATAAGGTAATATAACTTTAAATTGGCTATGGTAATATGGCTTTAAAATATCAAGAGTAATATAGCTTTAAAGTAGCTAAGGTAATATAGCTCTAAAGTAGCTATGTAGCGTTGACTTGTCTTTCTGAATTCACACCCCTGTAGAACTGGTTTTGTATGTAATTGTAAAGGAAATGACAGCCGGAATTCAAATAAGTGTATCTATGAGAAACTGGCAGCTGTAATTAAATATGGAATCAACCCAGGTAATGCAGCAAGCATATCGACTCAGCCATTACAGAAATCACATGTTTTAAACTAATTGCAATATTGTGTTGGTGAGACGTTAAAATTACGCGTTGTGTTTGACATTTGTTAGTTGTTCAACCTTAGATTGATCCATGACCATAATCATTATACAACCGGCACCCGTTCTCTACCGGAAATGAACTTGGGAAAGAACAAAGCCATCTTTTCACTCGTTATTTCCCCTCATTTGTTGAAGCAGATTTTGAACTTTATTAAGGACAGCGCACATGTCAACCGATCATTTACTGTAGCAAAACTTTACAAACAAAATAATGGTGAGTGTAAACGAACCGCCAGGGATGTCCTGATTTCATTAGTTAATTAGTACCGGTACCGGTATGTAGAAATGTAGTCTACCAACCAAATTTTATTTTTTGCGCAATCAATGGCTTTGGAACTTGTCAAAAATAATTGCCAAATATTAGAATTTCAAAACTGTATAAATGTTTTAAATTAAACTTTTACTCTTTTAATATTCAATTTTCTTTTTTAAAGAAAACAAAACAATTTTCAGTCCGAAATCAAAATCTGGTCCAAAAAGTGGTAATTTAATTTCAGTGCAATGTAAAAAAAGTTTGTTTTTCAATTAATTGACATGAAACTTGGTAGAATAATGGTTTATTTACTCCGACTTGGTAGAATAATGGTTTGTTTACTCCAACTTGGTAGACTAATGGTTTGTTTATTCCAATATAAATTCACAATCAATCAGGATGCCCGATGTGATTTGCGCTGGGCTTTGCTACGTGGAACTATATAGCACCATCTCTTATCTCGAAACACGGAGGGTTGAGAGATATCTACTAAAAGTCACACTACAGAGAAAAGAAAAAGATGGCACAAAACTATAAACTAGAAAAACATCATTCTAGATTGGATGTACAGAAAAACAATTTCACAGTCACAGTCATCAACGATTTCACGAAACTCATTACCATTCTATTTTGTCAGTGCTAAAATCCTAAACCAATTCAGTCACGTCGCAACCAATTCTGGAAAAATGATGAAAAAAGGTTCAACCACGCTGTTATTAGTATAATTCTTTGTAATTTTAAACCAAAAAATGTTGAGAATTTTTTTTAATATGACATGTTTAAGTTCAGATATGAGCAAACCATTCAGTACCAGATAGAATTAAGGTGGTAAACAAACCATCGAGGCTTAAAGCGATAATTTCATATTTTTTAAGAAAGTCAAAACATAATTATTTCTATGTCTTTTGCTCAATAGGTTATCAACTCACTATTTTACGACCATGGGCATTATTTCCCACCCTTAAAAATCATTGACACAGGAAATAATAATTACCTCCCTTGTTTTTCTATTGCCTCCGTGCATTAACTACCTTCAATTTCTCAGCTGGCAATAGTGACTTATAGGATTAATAGGATTATTCTTTAACAAGGTAGGACGGTTTATGGATACCATTTATTTTAAGGCTTTATTTTAATAAATTTTAAAAATATAACTTAAAAATATGAAATTGCAACTTTAATAGTAGACCGAAGAAAAGGTATAAAAGCTGAAATATAAGACCCATTTTTTGCAGTAGAAAAATTTACACTACATTACCTATAGATGTGTATTTTGATCTATATCCCACCCCTCACCAGTCTACGATGGCAGATATGGTAATTCCAACACAACTAAGCTAAGTACATTCAACACCAAGCAGCTAGGCAAGCATGCTGTATAATATATTATTGAAAAATATGAATTTGATAAAAGGTAATCCACTCAACTATAATCTGATAGACTATTCACACTGTATGATTAGTAAAACTTCTAATACGGCTGACCAGGTTTGAAGTCCCAATTAGGCGTATTCGATACGATGATTGCATAAGCTCAATAGCATAGAAAGGGCGGGACAGACCACAAACAGGCTTTTATTAAAAACACTCTACACGAGCACAATTCCCCTAAACCAATAAACGTCCTACAGGTACATGTACTGGTCCATTATTGCACAAGGTGAACCCGCTCACGTTTTATAAGTTGTTATCAATTTGATGATTGTTATTTCAGCTTTTAAACATTTGCTCTCATCACACAAATCCTATCAATGTATGCATTTTAAGCAGGGGGAGAGAGATAGAGAGAGAAATGGGGTTTTACGTCCAGTAGACACAAACTAGGTCATTTCGGGACTAACATATGGTTTAATTTATTTATTTCAATAATTCTCTTCCGCGTAGGGGTCTTTAGCGGTGAGAGGAAACTGGAGGACCCAGAGAAAACCCACGAGGTTTGACAGGCGACCCTGCTCCTTGTCACGTACAACCCGGAATCAAAACCCCGCCAGTTGACTCAATGACAGACCGTATGATACAGCGCACGCGTGCTAACCATTCGGCCATCCAACCCCCCAGTGAGAGAGAGAGGGATGTGGAGAAATGGTTTTAACTCCACTTGACTAAGACTAGGTCATTTTGGAACTAGCATATGGCACCATTTTGATTCAATAATCTGCTTGCCACTAAGGGTAGCATTACCACATTCATCCTCAGCGCTGTGTGACACTCAGTCAGCGTATTGACCGTGTCCTACACTCCTCGGGCACAGAGTGCCAAGAAGAAATATCCGATAAAAAACTCACAATTTGTGTCAACATATTTTAACCTATATGAATAAAAAGCCAATTAAATTACCTTTCTAGTAATACAAGTTTCGTTTTTGTTCTTTATTGATAATGCACTCAAAACACAAGTTATAAAATACCCACGCTAATATTACGTCACTGGCAGTTAGCCATTGTTTTTCCATTAGCAAATTAATTAGTATTCACGGCACGCCCGGGTTTTTGAGCGGTATCTCGCTGGGGATTCTCATAGCTCGGAAAGTTCTTCACGTACGTCATTGAAACTTTAAACGAATCATCAGGAAGAACCCTGCAAGGTTCCGCGGCATTCCCGATCAAAATGGCGGGTATAGTTTTTGAGATACAAATGTTTTAAAAGATTGAAGTCAAATTTTTCTAAAACTCAATGTTGCGGCTGGAATTTTAAAACGGTGAGAACCTTTATGAAATATCGTAGATTATAATGATATATGTGTCGTCGGTAATAAAAACTGTTTTCATTGAGGAATAAGCCGCAGAAGTTTGGTTGCCAAGCCGAGTTCTTACGGCGAAAACTTCACGGGCGATTCCATTCATAGCAAAATGGTATTCCCCTATGACGAACATTGTTGACATCATATGATTGTTGAGTCTGATTGGACAAACTCGCATGTCATTTCAGCTGTAGGGGGTGGAAGGCGGGTAATCCTTCCATGGATGCTATCACGCACGATATAAACAAAACACTTGTTATTTTGACATTTATGTATGGATTTGATTTGACAGTTGTCTTGGAACCGAATGACCAACATGTATGTCCCATAAATTAGTTAATTTTAGATATTAATCGAATTACTAAAACTATAATAGTATAATTATTTACCAAACATTTCATCAGTAATCAAGTAGTCTAGAGATTATAGGCCTATCAAATAATATTATCATTTTGATTATGAAACTCAATAAAATGGATCAATTTTAGATATTAATATAATTAGTAAATTATGTAAAACTACAATTATTTAAAAATCATTTTATCAGTAATCATGTAGGCTAATTAATATTATCATTTTGATTAAAATGTAACGCAATAAAAATGGTTTAATTTTAGATATTAATATAATTAGTAAAATTATGGAAAACTATAATTATTTACCAAAATTTTTTCAATAATCTAGTGGGCCTATTAAAATTATTATTTTTATTAAAATGTAACTCAATTAAAATTAGTTAATTTTACATGTTAGATTGTCAGTAAAGGTTACTGGGCCTATATAAGCTAGACTACTTGATTATTGATGAAATGTTTGGTAAATAATTATAGAATAATCTTTCATTTCATTTTCCAATTATAATATGTGAGGGAATTTAGCATTCCTATATCATATAAAACTTTTGAAACCTATTTTTCATGTATTTGTGAAAGATGCAAGCAGTTTCATGAAGGCGCATCAACTTTCGACATTCCACGTCTCATCTTTGAAATATTGAACAAAATAAACAATGTCTAAAAACAACTTCTTTATTTAATATGTTCTCTGGTGGGTATTGGACATTTGGAAACTGTAATCCCCTCTTCAATACCTTTCCAATGATATATTACAACCCATACTTTGAGCACCGAATAAATGACACCCGATTGTGACGGAATCTGGCACATCGGCCATCTTGGATTCCAAGATGTCCGCCTTTTTTCTTTGAAGTCATGAAGTAGATCAAACTTACTTTATGGAGTGCAGAATGAAGCATTTTTAACAGCCGTGTAGTGTCATTTGATGCTGACCTCATAATTGCAGTACATTTTAATGGCGGTTTTAACCGCAATCCAAGATGGCCACCATCTCACGGGACGCGTATGTTGCAGAGGCATTTTGACGACAGAATTGAATTTGTCGTCCATTTTTCATCTGGGTGTCAAAATTTCAACTTATTGCTTTTGATATTACCAGAGTTATTGTAGGATCTTTAAAAGACTATTTTAGCCTCAAAAAGCCCTATTTCGAGGGCGTGTTTTGCCTATAGATAAGTCTATTACTTTTTGTCAGAAAAATGTTGCCATCTGCGATGAGAAAAATGTTCATAGAAAACTTATTTATTAACCGATTTTGAGAATTTAAAAAAAAGTTTCTTCATGTTTGAAACAGGCTGCATGCATTAAAACAGAGAAAAACACATCATCTGTTATTTGAAATTTTGATGTGGTAATGCTACTAAGGGTCTTTAGCAGTGGGGTGGCTGCAGAGAAAACCCATGAGGTTGAACCTACTCCTTGGAAATTAAATCTAAACAAGTTACACATTTAATAAGATTTATTTGAAAGTTAACAATTTTTAAAAAATATGAATAAAAATAACAAATGCTGGTTATTTACATAAAATAATAACAAAATGGTTATTAGGAAGGTTTCAAGCAATAATAGTGGGGTTTGATGGCCGAATGGTTAGCACGTGCGCGCTGTATCATTAGGCCTGTCATTGAGTCAATTGGTGTGGTTTCGAATCCCCGGTTGTATGTGACAAGGAGTAGGGTTGCCTGTCCAACCTTGTGGGTTTTCTCCGGTTCCTCCGGTTTCCTCCCACTGCTAAAGACCCCTACGCGAAAGCGAATTATTGAAATAAAATTAAACCATATGTTAGTCCCAAAATGACCTAGTTTGTGTTGAGTGGATGTTAAACCCCATTTATCTCTGTCTTTTTTTAAAGCAATAATAGTCTTTTGGTAGTTGTTATTTTTATGTTTATCAACTTTTGATCAGACAGATAGTCTGGTAACTAAGCGCATCATGTCTCAGCGTGAGAATCTATCATAAACAGCCTAGAAAAAAATAAATAAAATGAAATAAACAAACTGTAAAAAACAGAGCTAAGGATTAAGTTTTTATACCCACCTATTTTGAACTTTAAACAGAGCTAAGGATTATGTTTTTATAACCACCTATTCTGATCTTTAAAATAGACTTTGTAAATAAATATACTTTTCATTGGATACATAATTATCACCTTTACAATTTAAACATAAACGTTTTGTATTACATGAAATTAATGACGTTATAACTTTTATATATTACAGGAAACTGATTATATAAAATTTCTCCATCAATGTGTTGTATGTGATGAGATTTTTCTACAATATGATGATTTAGAAAATCACAATAAAATACATGTTAAAGAAGAGAAAACTGATGATGTAGATGAATATTGTCATGTTAAAGAAGAGAAAACTGATGATGTAGATGAATATTGTCATGTTAAAGAAGAGAAAACTGATGATATAGATGAATATTGTCATGTTAAAGAAGAGAAAACTGATGATATAGATGAATATTGTCATGTTAAAGAAGAGAAAACTGATGATATAGTTGGATATTGGGATGTTAAAGAAGGGAAAACTGATGATGTACATGAATTTTGTCATGTTGAAGAAGAGAAAACTGATGATATTGAAACAGTTTATCAGTGTAATTTATGTGATGAAGAATTTAAATTAGAAACAGAGTTAGAAAAACACTGTGAAATACATGTTAGTCAGCAAGGGCAAACAGGAGATAAACGATATAAATGTGATGTTTGTAGTAAATCTTTCACTGCCAATGATACTCTACAGAAACACATGAGAATTCATACCGGAGAAACACCTTATAAATGTGATGTTTGTGGTAAATCATTTAGTCAGAGTGGATCTCTACAGAGACACCTGAAAACTCATTCCGGAGTAAAACCTTATAAGTGTGATGTTTGTGGTAAATCATTTAGTCAGAGTGGATCTCTACAGAGACACATGAAAACTCATTCCGGAGTAAAACTATATAAATGTGATGTTTGTGGTAAATCATTTCGTCAGACTGGTCATCTACAGAACCATATTCGAATTCACGCTGTAGAAAAACCTTATAAATGTGATGTTTGTGGTAAATCATTCACTCAGAATATTAATCTACAGTCACACATGAAAACTCATTCCAGAGGAAAACCTTATAAATGTGATATTTCTGGTAAATCATTTGGTCAGAGTGGAACTCTAAGGGATCACATGAAAACTCATTCTAGAGGAAAACCTTATAAATGTGATGTTTGTGGTAAATCATTTTGTAAGAAATATGATCTAAAGATTCATATCAGAATTCATACTGGTGAAAAACCTTATAAATGTGATGTTTGTAGTAAATCATTCCCCACCAATGGTAATCTACAGACACACATGAGAATACATACTGGAACAAAACCTTATAAATGTGATGTTTGTGGTAAATCATTTAGTCAGAGAGGAACTCTACAGACACACATGAAAACTCATTTCGGAAAAAAATCTTATAATTGCTCGCCGATGTTTTTATAATAAAGTAGCCTCATATTATTTGTTGATTGGCGTTTAAACAACATTTAATTGACTTGATATGAAATCTGAATATAAATTATTCAATGGATAAACGTTTGTGATAGGATATGGTTATAATGTCTATCATCGTTTATAACATTTTTATAATAAAGGTATTTTACAATTACATTGACAGTTTAATAACTCACCGAACGACATCAGGAACTCCCACGTATGATCAAGTGTATTTGATATTCATGTCCATGAATCCCGTGCAATTTTCGCGTCAAAGTTTAACCACATTGTAATAAGATTCCCAGCGTTGATTGGATGCATAGTCATCGGAAAATTCCATATTCGCTTTGAATTTCAAATGGAGTTACGATAAAAGTTGTTCTTTATGTATAGAAATGGTTATTATTACATGTATATATAGCTAATAATGAATATATCGACAAATGACTGGCACCATTTGTATTTCTATACTTAAGTTTGGGATATCAAGTACTACAGGGTTATCCAAATTACCGATAAATGTGCTAATTTCTCGAGTCGTCTTCATTTGACACGTGGCCTATTTAAACAAAGGCAGCTTAAATGTGTCTACGGCATGATACAGCATATTAAATTCACTCTAAAATATTCCAATCACAAATGTCTAATCTATAACAATGTAAGACAATAATTCGGTGATTATGATTAGGCCAGTCATGTGGTAATTGGACCGTCAATAGAAGCTTGTCAACTGGTGGTATGTATGATAGTGCCAGTCCTTCATGTTTATAAAATGGTGCGGGAGCCATAAAAAGCTCCTGATACCTTGAATATATGCAGTTTATAAGTAAACAAAAACTGAAAGTAGTTTATTAATCTCAATATTTGGGAGAGGGATTTAGCTAATTTGCAGGAGTCTTTAATGACTCCTTCGAAGGAAAGCGAAAGCTCCCCTTAAACGTGAAGGACTGTAGTGCTATATTGTACACACAGTGAGATATTGTATAGATAATGTATATCCTATGTGTAGTGCCTGTGACGTCACCAGCCAATCAACCGGATTAAGGTCGTAATTGAAAAATTGAAAAGCGTTTTGGCGTGTCGGATACTTAAATGTTAACAGCGGACTTAATTTTAATCAGATTGGTGTGAACTTGCCGTAAAGTTGATATGGTTTCGATTCCCCGGTTGTACGTGACAAGGAGAAGGGTCGTCTGTCCAACCTCGTGGGTTTGCTCTGGGTCCTCCGGTTTCCTCCCACTGCTAAAGACCCCTACGTGCAAGCGTATTATTGAAATAAAATTTAACCATATGTTAGTCCCGAAATGACCTAGTGTGTCAAGTGGACGTTAAACTCCATTTCTCTTCCCTCCCTGTCATTGAGTCAAGTTAAGTGGTTTCAATCCTACACATGACAAGTGCTAGGGTCGCCTGTCTACCAACCTTTTGGAATTTCTCCCTCATTGCTAAAGACCCCTACTCTCAACCGAATTATTGAAATAAAATTGAACAAAATGTTAGTCCCTCTCCCACCCCCCTTTTTTGGGGTCTAACATTCCTTTTAGAGATCATAAGGTTTGTCATTCAGTCAACTGGCATGGTTTTGATTCCCGATGGTACAAATTCTTTCGGATATATTTGATTTATTTAATATTATTACAAATTATATATACACATGAACAAATTCCTTTATATACTTTTTCCGATACACTTTAGGATCTTCAATCTTGAAGAAATATAGGCACAACTACCGTTCATTTTGCCATGATGTCTACATGTAGACTACATGCATCTGACAGACGAGTGGATGGAATCAGACAATCGCTATGTGTGGAGTCATTTGTTCTGTATAAGGAGAAAGAGAGAGAGAAATGGGGTTTAACGTCCACTCGACACAAACTAGGTCATTTCGGGACTAACACTTGGTTTTTGATTTTATTTACATAATTCGCTTGCGCGTAGAGGTCTTTAGCAGTGGGAGGAAACCGGAGGACCCGGAGAAAACCCACGAGGTTGGACAGGCGACCCTACTCCTTGCCACGTACAACAGGGGATTCGAAACCACGCCAGTCGACTCAATGACAGACTTTATGATACAGCGCGCGCACGCTAACCATTCAGCCATCCAACCCCCCCTGTATAAGGAGAAGATGTTTATAAGTTGTTAGAACTTTTGTTTAATCCTTGTGTACAATGAAATGTTGATGCAATAAAATAAGTTTAAACTATAGTTTCTAGATCATGTTTATATTTGATATCAATTAATAAAGATTATATATTGACTTTGTTTAGTTTTATGTTGTTATTAAAAACAACATATGACTAGGGGGTCGAAATAACAGATTATACCAGCATTACAATAAAAACAACATACGACTAGGTAGGAATAACAGATTATAACAGCATTACCATAAAAACAACATATGACTAGGTAGATATAACAGATTATACCACCATTACAATAAAAACAACATACAACTAGGTAGGAATAACAGATTATAACAGCATTACAATAAAAACAACATATGACTAGGTAGAAATAACAGATTATACCAGCATTACAATAAAAACAACATACGACTCGGTAGAAATAAAAAATTATACCAGCATTACAATACAACAACATACAACTAGGTAGAAATAACAAATTATACAACCATTACAATACAAACAACATACGACTAGGTAGGAATAACAGATTATACCACCATTACAATAAAAACAACATACCACTAGGTAGGAATAACAAATTATACCAGCATTACAATAAAAACAACATACGACTCGGTAGGAATAACAAGTTATACCACCATTACAATAAAAAAAAACATACGACTAGGTAGGAATAACAAATTATACCAGCATTACAATAAAAATAAAATATGACTAGGTAGAAATAACAGATTATACTAGCATTACAATACAACAACATACAACTAGGTAGAAATAACAGATTATTATAACAGCATTACAATAAAAACACATGACTAGGTAGAAATAACAGATTATACCAGCATTATAATAAAACAACATATGACTCGGTAGGAATAACAGATTATACCACCATTACAATAAAAAACCAACATACGACTCGTTAGGAATAACAAATTATACCACCATTACAATAAACACAACATACGACTCCGTAGGAATAACAAATTGTACCAGCATTACAATAAACAACATATGACTAGATAGGAATAACAAATTGTACCAGCATTACAATAAACAACATATGACTAGATAGGAATAACAAATTGTACCAGCATTACAATAAAAAAACCTCAGTAGTTAGGGTGATATAACCTTAAATTAGCTATGGTAATATAGCTTTAAAGTAGATGAAGTAATATAACTTTTAAGAATCTAGGGCAATATAGCTTTATGGTAGCTGAAATAATATAACTTTAAAGTAAATGAGGAATAGAACTTTAAAGTGGCAATGGTAATATAATTAGGTTATATAACTTTAATTGGACTAGGGTTATGTAGCTTTAAAGTGTCTAGGGTAATATAGCTTTATAGGATCTAAGGTAACATAGCTTCAAAGTATCTGGGGTAATATAACTTTAAAGTATCTGGGGCAATATAGCTTTAAAGTGGCTTGGGTAATTAAGAGATAAACATTTTCATGTTTTGAATTTATCGGGCGGGGGGGCGGGGGGGGTACATGTCACCTAATGGCAATTTAGACAGGCTTTTCAAATAGGTTATATTTTCTTAACAATTCAGACTACATTCGAATAAACGGAACATTTCAGTTTTCGGGAATTTAGACGGTCTAGTTTTTGAAACAAGAGCGAAATATGATGAATGATGTGAATTTCAATGAAATAGCATTTTTGTGAACTATTCGGGTTGGAGAGATCCAGAACTATATCATGTATACAACCTTCTACCGGAAACGAATTCTATTTCCGTGACGTAATATTTTACGAACGCTAACGTTATTCTGCACTTCAATGAAGACTTGTTTACTAAATGAAGATCTATTTACTTGACTTGTAGTTGTAGAAGAGACAGATCAGCTATCCTGTGTTACAACAGATTCACAAATAGACAATTGTCAACAAAATAATGGTGAGTTGATTTTAGATTAAACAACACAACGATTATTATTTTAATACAAAACAATTACAATTACATATTGACAGCCTAATCACTCGCCAAAATACATCACAGACTCTACGTGTTACACAATAATCAACTAAATTGCGACGGAGCCCCTTTTAAATAAGACAAATTAGATTAATATTATTTCGGCACCATAATTAATTTTAAAACTAATTGTTGATTTAATTTCCGTACTTGAAATGGAAATAATCAACTCCAAATATGAGAATTCCAAATAAGAATCGTAACACGTGCACTCTTACCATGTTTTGTATACATGATTATTTACGTGTTACAGCACTGGTCTGTACCGTTATTTGATGTATTTTTTTTTTAATTCTCAATTTAACGTATGATTACGTCCAAGACAATTTGGTTTTTAATTTTTCATAAATAGAATATTTTCTGAAGTGTCAAAAAATTGTAAAATTATGTTGGAATATTCATACGTAAAGAAATTGAAAATATTTTAATGTTTTTTAAAATCTAGAAAAAATCATTCCACTCACCTGATACGGGTCCACAAGCCCAACATTGTCCCACCAAGTTACTGTCAGACATAATTTATCACCTACTTTTCCACTTGAAATCTTAACCAGTGTTTGGACAAAATATTAAGCCAAACAGAGTTAACTGTCCTTGGGGTTTTTGTGATGTGATAACTTTGATATAACTTTTATATATTACAGGAAACTAATGATGTTATAACTTTTATATACTACAGGAAACTAATGATGTTATAACTTTTATATATAACAGGAAACTAATGATGTTATAACTTTTGTATATTACAGGAAACTAATGATGTTATAACTTTTATATATTACAGGAAACTAATGATGTTATAACTTTTATATTTTTAGGAAACTGATTATATAAAAATTCTCCATCAATGTGTTGTATGTGATGAGATTTTTCAACAATATGATGATTTAGAAAAACACAATAAGATGCATGTTAAAGATGTGAAAACTGCTGATGTAGATGAATATTGTCATATTAAAAAAAAGAAAACTGATGATGTAGATGAATATTGCCATGTTAAAGAAGGGAAAACTGATGATGTAGATGAATATTGTCATGTTAAAGAAGAGAAAACTGATGATGTAGGTGAATATTGTCATATTAAAGAAGAGAAAACTGATGATGTTGATGAATATTGTCATATTAAAGAAGAGAAAACTGATGATGTAGATGAATATTGTCATGTTAAAGAAGAGAAAACTGATGATGAAGATGGATATTGCCATGTTAAAGAACAGAAAACTGATGATGTAGATGAATATTGTCATGTTAAAGAAGAGAAAACTGATAATGTTGAAACTGTTTATCAGTGTAATTTGTGTGATGAAGAATTTAAATCTTACACTGATTTAGAAAAACACTGTGAAATACATGTTAGTGAACAAGGGCGAACAGGAGAAAAACCTTATAAATGTGATGTTTGTAGTAAATCATTTAGTCAGAAAGGTCATCTAAAAACACACATGAGAATTCATACTGGTGAAAAACCTTATAAATGTGATGTTTGTAGTAAATCATTTTCTGATAGTAGTTCTCTAAAGAAACACATGACAATGCATACTGGTGAAAAACCTTATAAATGTGATGTTTGCAGTAAATCATTCACTACTAGTAGTAATCTACAGACTCACAGGAGAATTCATACAGGTGACAAACCTTATAAATGTGATATTTGTAGTAAATCATTTTCTGATAGTAGTCATCTAAAGAAACACATGAGAATTCATACAGGTGAAAAACCTTATAAATGTGATGTTTGTAGTATATCATTCACCTTAAGAAGTACTCTACAGAGGCATATGAGAATTCATACAGGTGAAAAACTTATACATGCGATGTTTGTTGTAAATCATTTAGTCAGATTGGAACTCTAAGGGGTCATTTGAGAACCCACACAGGGGAAAAACCTTATAAATGTGATATTTGTAATAAAACATTTATACAGAAAGGCAATCTAAATTTACACATGAAAAGTCATACAGGCGAGAAACAATTTAAATGCGATGTTTGTAGAAAATTTTTAACTACCAGTACTAAATTACGAACACACATGAGGGTTCATACAGGTGAAAAACCTTATAAATGTAATGTTTGTAGTAAATCATTCACCACTAATGGTAATCTACAGTCACACATAAGAATTCATACTAGAGAAAAAAACGTTTAAATGTGATGTCTGTAGTAAATCATTTTCTGACAGCAGTATTCTGCAGAAACACATTAGAATTCAGACTGGGGAAAAAAATCTTTTAGATGTGATGTTTGTTAAATTAAAAAAGAGTAATCAATAAAATGTAAATGAAATGAAATGTGGTTTTACATCCTACTGTTTAAAACCTTGAACTAAAATAAAAAAGAGTAATCAATAAAATGAAATGAAAGAGTAATCAATAAAATGAAATGGGGGTTTAACGTCCTACTGTTCTGCTCCGAACTGAGCTGAAGAAGGGTATATGCCATACAGTGTGCTATGAGGGAAATTTTGCAGCACTATATCGAATTCCAACTGCCAAGGGATCTTTTACTTGGTTTTTCGTCTGACAAAGGGAACCACATCGGAATAAAAATAGTAATCAAAGCCACACTTTAAAGTTTTACGGGTTCATTACAACAATTATGATTAGGGAAAGAAGATTTATTACATTAGCATGAGTTTTAAATGGTTAGAAAGAATATACCAAGGTATTGGTATATTTACTGGAACCAAAAAGATTTATTACATTAGCATGAGCTTTCAATAATTACATAGAATACACCAAGGTATTGGGATATTTACTGGAACCAAAAAGATTTATTACATTAGCATGAGCTTTCAATAATTGCATAGAATATACCAAGGTATTAGGATATCTACTGGATCCAAAAAGATTTAAAATGGCTTCAGCCACTACTCTGATATAAAGTTTTAAAGGAACGGAGTTAAAACTTAAAGGGCATATTTGGGACATGGTTTCAAATCGTAAAGTAAGAATTGAATTATAGTAATATGATGATGATTTAAAACATGATTTAAAATCGTAAAGTATGAATTGAATATAATGAGGATTTATCATTCATCAGAATGTGTCTGGATGTTCTTGATAAATTCAACGGAAATTCAGCTTCTACAAGGCAGATCCATGGTGTTGGATTATTTTATTTTTTACAGAAACAATTATGGACAATAGTTTTGGAAATAATCACTGGCAATTGTCAACCCTGTACCGGCACTGGGGTAGAGGGCATAGGTCTCTGCCTAGTGTCCACACTGTGAGGAGAGGGGTAGAGGGCATAGGTCTCTGCCTAGGGTCCACACGGTGATGAGAGGGGTAGAGGGCATAGGTCTCTGTCTAGGGTCCACACGGTGATGAGAGGGGTAGCTGTTCCTCCAATCCTAGAAAACTCTTTGGTAAATCTGCAGTCCAATAATTTGCCTCCACCTGCATCTTCAGGGTAGAATCAATCCTGCCCCTTAATAGGTTGCCTAGGGTTTTGAATATCACATGCTCCGGTATATGACTCAAGACACTAGCCTCAACCCGGACAATATTTCTAGGCAGTCTCAGGCCCTTAAGGCGTTAGGCCGGATGGTTCATGGTAGGACCCCGGAGCAGATGGTAGAATCATTCAATTTAGGAGGGTGGCTCCCTTTGGATAGTCAGATTAGAGCTGCACAAAGACCGGTTTTGGAGGCGGTATGTAGGAAGAATGGTTGGCCTGTCCTAGTAAGGATTAAATTAAATCCAATTACCTCCCCGGCATGTCTTCTCTATTGCCAGTGTATAATGGAAGATTGGGAAATTGAGGTGAACGAGGAGATCAATTTATCCTAATATTACCCAATCTGATTAATTTCTCTGCAAGATCTTAATTCCTTCATATTTTATTTATAATTATGTCTTAATAATGTCCAAATTAGACAGTTAGCTGCTGCAGAATGTTCTTCAAGTTAGAACGGGAACTCCTTTCCAGCTCTTGGGAGAAGACATATAAATATTCTGATTTTATTTATTTTTTAAAATCTTATCCAATAGCTTCTGTTTTTAAAATAATACAGTTATCAATATTGATGTCATGATTATTGGAAAATAATGGTTTTCGGAAAAAAAATAAATGTGGTTGCTATGGTAACCACTCAAACTCCTTAATATTTTGCTCAAACTTATACAATCCATATCATTTGATATTACATGGGTTTCAAATATTTTAAAATGCTTATTTTTAAAAGTGGTGATCACCTTTTGGGTTATGGTAAATAGCGTTGAAAATGGTCAAAAATTGCATTTTTTCCATTTTGGTTTCTATGACAACCAAAATCGATAATATATGGCAGATTGGAAATATGTAATTTTAAAAATTCACAAACTTTTTGACATATTCCCATAATTTCACTTCCCTATCTCCATTCCTTCTTATTTTACTAAGGTCACCAAAATGCCCCAAAAATAGGCAATTGTTCAAAATTGAACACATATCCAGCCCTTGAGAGAAGGCATATAGATATTTTTACTATTTTTTTTCTGTTAATCTTACTTGATAGATACTGATTTTAAAATGCATAACAACCAGGTTCAATATTTCAGATATAACATGCACAAGACCATTTTTGATGAAAAAATTGACCAAAATCGCTCTGAGAAAATGGAATTTTTGGGAAAACTTAGGTATTTTCCAGTTCCTGTGGAATTCGGTGTAATTGTTACAAAAATGTGAAAATCGAAACATAAGTAGCCTTGAAGTTGTATTTCATGAATTTACATCTACATTTTTGATAGTTTTGATATGAAATGAAATATGGCATCGCAAAAAACACCAAAAATGACCTTTTGAAAGTGTTGAAAAACCTTTCTTCCGCGAAAAGTCAAAAATCGCAACTTTGAACCTCAATAAAAAAAAAATTTTCATCCGATTTTGAATCTGTAAAAAGTTTTGTGAGAAGAATGATGAGATCTACATGAAAAGCTAATAATAACATATGTATAATCATAATCTCAAAATCACCTTTTCCACCTACTTAAAGTAGTCGCTTGTGTGTTGTTGGCGTTGGATAGATCCATGACTATATTTAATATACAACTTGTAAGCCGTTCTCTACCGGAAATGACCTTTGAAACTAACAAAGCCATGTTTTTATCTTCGTTATTTTCCCTTATTTGTTGAAACAGACTGAACCCCACGAAAGGACAACTTATTAGGCAACCAACCATTGACTGTAGCAGAACTTTACAAACTAAATAATGGCGAGTATTACTGTTTCGTTTAGAATTTTGTTTGTAATGTTCATCTTGCCATATATCACCTTTCGCACCTTTCTACGAGTTTCCGTGGTCGTAGAGACTTGAAATTTCTAGGGGATGTTCAAGGGGGGATAGCCATGACCTCAGCCCAATTGATCAATAACTTTCCATTTTACCGACCCTTTAGGTTCCCATTAGAGATAAGTTTATCCGTTCCACTCCATTTTCTTTGTTGACTATAGGGGTTTAAGGTCACGTGACTTTAGCATGAAATCGGACAGCCAGCGGCAGAAATATAGCCCACTTCAATCTACGTTTCTGAATTACTATTTTATGTAAATGTATTACTAGCAATTGTATTGTAATATCAATCTAAATATCTGCAAAGATTCAGACTAAAAAATTATCGAAATGTAAGCGAAATTATCGGTAATTTGCAGGAGAAGCTCCCAAGGAAAATACCGCTCTGACGTCCCTGGGCCTGGGATTTTCCATTGTTACGGCTCACTTCATTGGTTATTCTGCACCTTAGTTTCCGGGGGATTTCTATATAGAACCAATCAAACGATGGATGACATTTTTGTGATACCCCAAAATCCGACAATTACAGCCGTAGAAAACAGGATTTATCTGATTTGCTGACTGAAATTTTCTAAATTTCGACTAAATATAACCTACTTTTTTTTTTTGTGTCATCCAGATTATAAATATTTGACATATTATCATTCAAATTATTACCATATTAATAAATCTTAGCGGACTATAACATGCAGATTTGAGTTTTAAAATTGTTACTAGTGATTCCGATGGGAAAATACCGCTTATGACGTCACTCAGATATGACTGAAAAGCACTTATTTTGGTGCCATGGCACGCATTGACTGGTATAGAGCATTTTGATAACATTATTGATGTCGATCTCGAATTTTAAAATCCCATAACTTTGGATCTAATTAGAATTTTTTGATGAAATAAAAAAAATGGGTAGCATTTTATATTTTTAAAAAAATTTTTTTCTGTCATTTGAAACTTTGACCCGAAAACCCTATTGACTATTTAGACTCGAATAACAAGATACAGTGGACTCTGTCACATCCAACATCGTGCGGGATCGTTACAATAATTCGGATCACACAGCGTTTCGGAATACCGAGTTTTCTCCAAAACCGAAAATACTGTAACTTCGAAAACCGGAAGTATTTTTATATTGTAGCTTCGAATCACCAGAATGCTATTCCCTTTATAAATGATAAACTTTTCTGTACTTTCAAAATTTTATTATATTTAATAATTAACAATAACAATGCATGCGTACAATATATTCATAAATAGTTTACATGTAATATCAATGCATGCGTAGACTACAATATATTTATAAATATCAATGCATGTAATCGTTTAAAGTAGTTTGCTTAGTTAAGATTACCGGTAGCATATCGTAAGGCGGAGTCCTGGGCAAAACATCTTCTAACAAATGAATTGTTGCGATCATCTTTTCGTCCTTAATCTGTGCGAAGTGTTTAATGTCGTTGAGCATGCGTAGGAATTTTGAATAGGTCAAGTCTGTCGTTAATGTATATTCTTCATCGTCCCCGTCTTCAGTTAATTGTCATTTATAATCTGTCGTTCTATGTCCAGCTTTTCAAGCCAATCAAAGTAAACGGCACCTGTCATCCAAGTTTTGCGATTGGCCGACCAATTGACTGGCAGGTAGATCTTGTCCACTCCCTTAAAACAACTCGGGTTCACTGCTTTACCGATCAAAGTAATCAACACAGTTTTAATCTCACCGATAATTGATTGGTGATTACTTGTTAATCTTTTCTGACTTCACACCCATTGAGTTTTAATCTCAACGATAATTGTACGGTGTCGATTCAATGGAAATTATGTGACAGGACGGCTGATTGATTTCGGAATCCGGAACATACAGAATTCGGATTTACCAGCGATTTTTTGGCTGAAGTAATAAGGAAATAAATCGGGACATGAAAATCATACCGGATGGCACAGCAATCCGGAGTGATCAGAGATCGGATGTGACAGAGTCCACTGTACTAAGACAGAGTCCGACACACTGATGTTATAACTTTTATATATTACAGGAAACTGGTGATGTTAAAACATTTCATCAGTGTGTTGTATGTGATGAGGTTTTTAAACAATATGATGATTTAGAAAAACACAATAAAATACATGTTAAAGATGAGAAAACTGATGATGTAGATGAATATTGCCATGTTAACGAAGAGAAAGCTGATGATGTAGATGGATATTGTCATGTTAAAGAAAAGAAAACTGATGATGTAGATAAATATTGTCATGTTAAAGAAGAGAAAACTGATGATGAAGATGGATATTGCCATGTTAAAGAACAGAAAACTGATGATGTAGATGAATATTGTCATGTTAAAGAAGAGAAAACTGATAATGTTGAAACTGTTTATCAGTGTAATTTGTGTGATGAAGAATTTAAATCTTACACTGATTTAGAAAAACACTGTGAAATACATGTTAGTCAGCAAGGGCAAACAGGAGAAAAACCTTATAAATGTGATGTTTGTAGTAAATCATTTAGTCAGAAAGGTCATCTAAAAACACACATGAGAATTCATACTGGTGAAAAACCTTATAAATGTGATGTTTGTAGTAAATCATTTTCTGATAGTAGTTCTCTAAAGAAACACATGACAATGCATACTGGTGAAAAACCTTATAAATGTGATGTTTGTAGTAAATCATTTACTACTAGTAGTAATCTACAGACTCACATGAGAATTCATACAGGTGACAAACCTTATAAATGTGATATTTGTAGTAAATCATTTTCTGATAGTAGTCATCTAAAGAAACACATGAGAATTCATACAGGTGAAAAACCTTATAAATGTGATGTTTGTAGTAAATCATTCACCTTAAGAAGTACTCTACAGAGGCATATGAGAATTCATACAGGTGAAAAACCATATACATGCGATGTTTGTTGTAAATCATTTAGTCAGATTGGAACTCTAAGGGGTCATTTGAGAACCCACACAGGGGAAAAACCTTATAAATGTGATATTTGTAATAAAACATTTATACAGAAAGGCAATCTAAATTTACACATGAAAAGTCATACAGGCGAGAAACAATTTAAATGCGATGTTTGTAGAAAATTTTTAACTACCAGTACTAAATTACGAACACACATGAGGGTTCATACAGGTGAAAAACCTTATAAATGTAATGTTTGTAGTAAATCATTCACCACTAATGGTAATCTACAGTCAGACATTAGAATTCATACTGGGGAAAAAAATCTTTTAGATGTGATGTTTGTTAAATTAAAAAAGAGTAATCAATAAAATGTAAATGAAATGAAATGTGGTTTTACATCCTACTGTTTAAAACCTTGAACTAAAATAAAAAAAGAGTAATCAATAAAATGAAATGGAGTAATCAATAAAATTAAATGAAAGAGTAATCAATAAAATGAAATGGGGGTTTAACGTCCTACTGTTCTGCTCCGAACTGAGCTGAAGAAGGGTATATGCCATACAGTGTGCTATGAGGGAAATTTTGCAGCACTATATCGAATTCCAACTGCCAAGGGATCTTTTACTTGGTTTTTCGTCTGACAAAGGGAACCACATCGGAATAAAAATAGTAATCAAAGCCACACTTTAAAGTTTTACGGGTTCATTACAACAATTATGATTAGGGAAAGAAGATTTATTACATTAGCATGAGTTTTAAATGGTTAGAAAGAATATACCAAGGTATTGGGATATTTACTGGAACCAAAAAGATTTATTACATTAGCATGAGCTTTCAATAATTACATAGAATACACCAAGGTATTGGGATATTTACTGGAACCAAAAAGATTTATTACATTAGCATGAGCTTTCAATAATTGCATAGAATATACCAAGGTATTAGGATATCTACTGGATCCAAAAAGATTTAAAATGGCTTCAGCCACTACTCTGATATAAAGTTTTAAAGGAACGGAGTTAAAACTTAAAGGGCATATTTGGGACATGGTTTCAAATCGTAAAGTAAGAATTGAATTATAGTAATATGATGATGATTTAAAACATGATTTAAAATCGTAAAGTATGAATTGAATATAATGAGGATTTATCATTCATCAGAATGTGTCTGGATGTTCTTGATAAATTCAACGGAAATTCAGCTTCTACAAGGCAGATCCATGGTGTTGGATTATTTTATTTTTTACAGAAACAATTATGGACAATAGTTTTGGAAATAATCACTGGCAATTGTCAACCCTGTACCGGCACTGGGGTAGAGGGCATAGGTCTCTGCCTAGTGTCCACACTGTGAGGAGAGGGGTAGAGGGCATAGGTCTCTGCCTAGGGTCCACACGGTGATGAGAGGGGTAGAGGGCATAGGTCTCTGTCTAGGGTCCACACGGTGATGAGAGGGGTAGCTGTTCCTCCAATCCTAGAAAACTCTTTGGTAAATCTGCAGTCCAATAATTTGCCTCCTCCTGCATCTTCAGGGTAGAATCAATCCTGCCCCTTAATAGGTTGCCTAGGGTTTTGAATATCACATGCTCCGGTATATGACTCAAGACACTAGCCTCAACCCGGACAATATTTCTAGGCAGTCTCAGGCCGTTAAGGCGTTATGCCGGATGGTTCATGGTAGGACCCCGGAGCAGATGGTAGAATCATTCAATTTAGGAGGGTGGCTCCCTTTGGATAGTCAGATTAGAGCTGCACAAAGACCGGTTTTGGAGGCGGTATGTAGGAAGAATGGTTGGCCTGTCCTAGTAAGGATTAAATTAAATCCAATTACCTCCCCGGCATGTCTTCTCTATTGCCAGTGTATAATGGAAGATTGGGAAATTGAGGTGAACGAGGAGATCAATTTATCCTAATATTACCCAATCTGATTAATTTCTCTGCAAGATCTTAATTCCTTCATATTTTATTTATAATTATGTCTTAATAATGTCCAAATTAGACAGTTAGCTGCTGCAGAATGTTCTTCAAGTTAGAACGGGAACTCCTTTCCAGCTCTTGGGAGAAGACATATAAATATTCTGATTTTATTTATTTTTTAAAATCTTATCCAATAGCTTCTGTTTTTAAAATAATACAGTTATCAATATTGATGTCATGATTATTGGAAAATAATGGTTTTCGGAAAAAAAATAAATGTGGTTGCTATGGTAACCACTCAAACTCCTTAATATTTTGCTCAAACTTATACAATCCATATCATTTGATATTACATGGGTTTCAAATATTTTAAAATGCTTATTTTTAAAAGTGGTGATCACCTTTTGGGTTATGGTAAATAGCGTTGAAAATGGTCAAAAATTGCATTTTTTCCATTTTGGTTTCTATGACAACCAAAATCGATAATATATGGCAGATTGGAAATATGTAATTTTAAAAATTCACAAACTTTTTGACATATTCCCATAATTTCACTTCCCTATCTCCATTCCTTCTTATTTTACTAAGGTCACCAAAATGCCCCAAAAATAGGCAATTGTTCAAAATTGAACACATATCCAGCCCTTGAGAGAAGGCATATAGATATTTTTACTATTTTTTTTCTGTTAATCTTACTTGATAGATACTGATTTTAAAATGCATAACAACCAGGTTCAATATTTCAGATATAACATGCACAAGACCATTTTTGATGAAAAAATTGACCAAAATCGCTCTGAGAAAATGGAATTTTTGGGAAAACTTAGGTATTTTCCAGTTCCTGTGGAATTCGGTGTAATTGTTACAAAAATGTGAAAATCGAAACATAAGTAGCCTTGAAGTTGTATTTCATGAATTTACATCTACATTGTAGATAGTTTTGATATGAAATGAAATATGGCATCGCAAAAAACACCAAAAATGACCTTTTGAAAGTGTTGAAAAACCTTTCTTCCGCGAAAAGTCAAAAATCGCAACTTTGAACCTCAATAAAAAAAAAATTTTCATCCGATTTTGAATCTGTAAAAAGTTTTGTGAGAAGAATGATGAGATCTACATGAAAAGCTAATAATAACATATGTATAATCATAATCTCAAAATCACCTTTTCCACCTACTTAAAGTAGTCGCTTGTGTGTTGTTGGCGTTGGATAGATCCATGACTATATTTAATATACAACTTGTAAGCCGTTCTCTACCGGAAATGACCTTTGAAACTAACAAAGCCATGTTTTTATCTTCGTTATTTTCCCTTATTTGTTGAAACAGACTGAACCCCACGAAAGGACAACTTATTAGGCAACCAACCATTGACTGTAGCAGAACTTTACAAACTAAATAATGGCGAGTATTACTGTTTCGTTTAGAATTTTGTTTGTAATGTTCATCTTGCCATATATCACCTTTCGCACCTTTCTACGAGTTCCCGTGGTCGTAGAGACTTGAAATTTCTAGGGGATGTTCAAGGGGGGATAGCCATGACCTCAGCCCAATTGATCAATAACTTTTCATTTTACCGACCCTTTAGGTTCCCATTAGAGATAAGTTTATCCGTTCCACTCCATTTTCTTTGTTGACTATAGGGGTTTAAGGTCACATGACTTTAGCATGAAATCGGACAGCCAGCGACTGAAATATAGCCCACTTCAATCTACGTTTCTGAATTACTATTTTATGTAAATGTATTACTAGCAATTGTATTGTAATATCAATCTAAATATCTGCAAAGATTCAGACTAAAAAATTATCGAAATGTAAGCGAAATTATCGGTAATTTGCAGGAGAAGCTCCCAAGGAAAATACCGCTCTGACGTCCCTGGGCCTGGGATTTTCCATTGTTACGGCTCACTTCATTGGTTATTCTGCACCTTAGTTTCCGGGGGATTTCTATATAGAACCAATCAAACGATGGATGACATTTTTGTGATACCCCAAAATCCGACAATTACAGCCGTAGAAAACAGGATTTATCTGATTTGCTGACTGAAATTTTCTAAATTTCGACTAAATATAACCTACTTTTTTTTTGGTGTCATCCAGATTATAAATATTTGACATATTATCATTCAAATTATTACCATATTAATAAATCTTAGCGGACTATAACATGCAGATTTGAGTTTTAAAATTGTTACTAGTGATTCCGATGGGAAAATACCGCTTATGACGTCACTCAGATATGACTGAAAAGCACTTATTTTGGTGCCATGGCACGCATTGACTGGTATAGAGCATTTTGATAACATTATTGATGTCGATCTCGAATTTTAAAATCCCATAACTTTGGATCTAATTAGAATTTTTTGATGAAATAAAAAAAATGGGTAGCATTTTATATTTTTAAAAAAATTTTTTTCTGTCATTTGAAACTTTGACCCGAAAACCCTATTGACTATTTAGACTCGAATAACAAGATACAGTGGACTCTGTCACATCCAACATCGTGCGCGATCGTTACAATAATTCGGATCACACAGCGTTTCGGAATACCGAGTTTTCTCCAAAACCGAAAATACTGTAACTTCGAAAACCGGAAGTATTTTTATATTGTAGCTTCGAATCACCAGAATGCTATTCCCTTTATAAATGATAAACTTTTCTGTACTTTCAAAATTTTATTATATTAAATAATTAACAATAACAATGCATGCGTACAATATATTCATAAATAGTTTACATGTAATATCAATGCATGCGTAGACTACAATATATTTATAAATATCAATGCATGTAATCGTTTAAAGTAGTTTGCTTAGTTAAGATTACCGGAAGCATATCGTAAGGCGGAGTCCTGGGCAAAACATCTTCTAACAAATGAATTGTTGCGATCATCTTTTCGTCCTTAATCTGTGCGAAGTGTTTAATGTCGTTGAGCATGCGTAGGAATTTTGAATAGGTCAAGTCTGTCGTTAATGTATATTCTTCATCGTCCCCGTCTTCAGTTAATTGTCATTTATAATCTGTCGTTCTATGTCCAGCTTTTCAAGCCAATCCAAGTAAACGGCACCTGTCATCCAAGTTTTGCGATTGGCCGACCAATTGACTGGCAGGTAGATCTTGTCCACTCCCTTAAAACAACTCGGGTTCACTGCTTTACCGATCAAAGTAATCAACACAGTTTTAATCTCACCGATAATTGATTGGTGATTACTTGTTAATCTTTTCTGACTTCACACCCATTGAGTTTTAATCTCAACGATAATTGTACGGTGTCGATTCAATGGAAATTATGTGACAGGACGGCTGATTGATTTCGGAATCCGGAACATACAGAATTCGGATTTACCAGCGATTTTTTGGCTGAAGTAATAAGGAAATAAATCGGGACATGAAAATCATACCGGATGGCACAGCAATCCGGAGTGATCAGAGATCGGATGTGACAGAGTCCACTGTACTAAGACAGAGTCCGACACACTGATGTTATAACTTTTATATATTACAGGAAACTGGTGATGTTAAAACATTTCATCAGTGTGTTGTATGTGATGAGGTTTTTAAACAATATGATGATTTAGAAAAACACAATAAAATACATGTTAAAGATGAGAAAACTGATGATGTAGATGAATATTGCCATGTTAACGAAGAGAAAGCTGATGATATAGTTGGATATTGTCATGTTAAAGAAAAGAAAACTGATGATGTAGATGAATATTGTCATGTTAAAGAAGAGAAAACTGATGATATAGATGAATATTGCCATGTTAAAGAACAGAAAACTGATGATGTAGATGAATATTGTCATGTTAAAGAAGAGAAAACAGATGATATTGAAACTGTTTATCAGTGTAATTTGTGTGATGAAGAATTTAAATCTTACACTGATTTAGAAAAACACTGTGAAATACATGTTAGTCAGCAAGGGCAAACAGGAGATAAACGATATAAATGTGATGTTTGTAGTAAATCTTTCACTGCCAATGATACTCTACAGACCCACATGAGAATTCATACTGGTGAAAAACCTTATAAATGTGATGTTTGTGGTAAATCATTTAATCAGAATAGTAATCTACAGTCACACATGCGAATTCATACTGGTGAAAAACCTTATAAATGTGATGTTTGTAGTAAATCATTTACTACTTGTAGTAATCTACAGCATCATACCAGAACTCATACAGGTGAAAAACCTTATAAATGTGATATTTGTAGTAAATCATTTTCTGATAGTAGTCATCTAAAGAAACACATGAGAATTCATACTGGTGAAAAACCTTATAAATGTGATGTTTGTAGTAAATCATTTACTTGTAGTAGTCATCTACAGAGGCACATCAGAATTCATACTGGTGTAAAACCTTATAAATGTGATGTTTGTAGTAAATCATTCACCACTAATGGTAATCTACAGTCACACATAAGAATTCATACTAGAGAAAAAACGTTTAAATGTGATGTCTGTAGTAAATCATTTTCGGACAGCAGTATTCTGCAGAAACACATTAGAATTCATACTGGGGGAAAAAATCTTTTAGATGAGATGTTTGTTAAATTAAAAAAGAGTAATCAATAAAATGTAAATGAAATAAAATGTGGTTTTACATCCTACTGTTTAAAACCTTGAACTAAAATAAAAAAGAGTAATCCATAAAATGAAATGGAGTAATCAATAAAATGAAATGTGGTTTAACGTCCCACTGTTCTGCTCCGAACTGAGCTGAAGAAGGGCATATGCCATACAGTGTGCTATAAGGGAAATTTTGCAGCACTATGGCCTAGTCTTATATCGAATTCCAACTGCCAAGGGATCTTTTACTTGGTTTTTCGTCACATGCGAGTGACTAGACAACTGTCCGTGACGGGCCTTCTGTCCTGCCACACTGACATAGGGAACCACATCGGAATAAAAATAGTAATCAAAGCCACATTTTAAAGTTTTAGGGGTTCATTACAACAATTATGATTAGGGAAAGAAGATTTATTACATTAGCATGAGTTTTAAATGGTTAGAAAGAATATACCATGGTATTGGGATATTTACTGGAACCAAAAAGATTTATTACATTAGCATGAGTTTTAAATAATTACATAGAATATACCAAGGTATTAGGATATCTACTGGAACCAAAAAGATTTATTACATTAGCATGAGCTTTCAATAATTGCATAGAATATACCAAGGTATTGGGATATTTACTGGAACCAAAAAGATTTATTACATTAGCATGAGCTTTCAATAATTGCATAGAATATACCAAGGTATTAGGATATCTACTGGATCCAAAAAGATTTAAAATGGCTTCAGCCACAACTCTGATATAAAGTTTAAAAGGAACGGAGTTCAAACTTAAAGGGCATATTTTGGACATGGTTTCAAATCGTAAAGTAAGAATTATAGTAATATGATGATGATTTAAAACATGATTTAAAATCGTAAAGTATGAATTGAATATAATGAGGATTTATCATTCATCAGAATGTGTCTGGATGTTCTTGATAAATTCAACGGAAATTCAGCTTCTACAAGGCAGATCCATGGTGTTGGATTATTTTATTTTTTACAAAAACAATTATGGACAATAATTTTGGAAATAATCACTGGCAATTGTCAACCCTGTACCGGCACTGGGGTAGAGGGCATAGGTCTCTGCCTAGGGTCCACACTGTGAGGAGAGGGGTAGAGGGCATAGGTCTCTGCCTAGGGTCCACACGGTGATGAGAGGGGTAGAGGGCATAGGTCTCTGTCTAGGGTCCACACGGTGATGAGAGGGGTAGCTGTTCCTCCAATCCTAGAAAACTCTTTGGTAAATCTGCAGTCCAATAATTTGCCTCCTCCTGCATCTTCAGGGTAGAATCAATCCTGCCCCTTAATAGGTTGCCTAGGGTTTTGAATATCACATGCTCCGGTATATGACTCAAGACACTAGCCTCAACCCGGACAATATTTCTAGGCAGTCTCAGGCCCTTAAGGCGTTATGCTGGATGGTTCATGGTAGGACCCCGGAGCAGATGGTAGAATCATTCAATTTAGGAGGGTGGCTCCCTTTGGATAGTCAGATTAGAGCTGCACAAAGACCGGTTTTGGAGGCGGTATGTAGGAAGAATGGTTGGCCTGTCCTAGTAAGGATTAAATTAAATCCAATTACCTCCCCGGCATGTCTTCTCTATTGCCAGTGTATAATGGAAGATTGGGAAATTGAGGTGAACGAGGAGATCAATTTATCCTAATATTACCCAATCTGATTAATTTCTCTGCAAGATCTTAATTCCTTCATATTTTATTTATAATTATGTCTTAATAATGTCCAAATTAGACAGTTAGCTGCTGCAGAATGTTCTTCAAGTTAGAACGGGAACTCCTTTCCAGCTCTTGGGAGAAGACATATAAATATTCTGATTTTATTTATTTTTTAAAATCTTATCCAATAGCTTCTGTTTTTAAAATAATACAGTTATCAATATTGATGTCATGATTATTGGAAAATAATGGTTTTCGGAAAAAAAATAAATGTGGTTGCTATGGTAACCACTCAAACTCCTTAATATTTTGCTCAAACTTATACAATCCATATCATTTGATATTACATGGGTTTCAAATATTTTAAAATGCTTATTTTTAAAAGTGGTGATCACCTTTTGGGTTATGGTAAATAGCGTTGAAAATGGTCAAAAATTGCATTTTTTCCATTTTGGTTTCTATGACAACCAAAATCGATAATATATGGCAGATTGGAAATATGTAATTTTAAAAATTCACAAACTTTTTGACATATTCCCATAATTTCACTTCCCTATCTCCATTCCTTCTTATTTTACTAAGGTCACCAAAATGCCCCAAAAATAGGCAATTGTTCAAAATTGAACACATATCCAGCCCTTGAGAGAAGGCATATAGATATTTTTACTATTTTTTTTCTGTTAATCTTACTTGATAGATACTGATTTTAAAATGCATAACAACCAGGTTCAATATTTCAGATATAACATGCACAAGACCATTTTTGATGAAAAAATTGACCAAAATCGCTCTGAGAAAATGGAGTTTTTGGGAAAACTTAGGTATTTTCCAGTTCCTGTGGAATTCGGTGTAATTGTTACAAAAATGTGAAAATCGAAACATAAGTAGCCTTGAAGTTGTATTTCATGAATTTACATCTACATTGTAGATAGTTTTGATATGAAATGAAATATGGCATCGCAAAAAACACCAAAAATGACCTTTTGAAAGTGTTGAAAAACCTTTCTTCCGCGAAAAGTCAAAAATCGCAACTTTGAACCTCAATAAAAAAAAAATTTTCATCCGATTTTGAATCTGTAAAAAGTTTTGTGAGAAGAATGATGAGATCTACATGAAAAGCTAATAATAACATATGTATAATCATAATCTCAAAATCACCTTTTCCACCTACTTAAAGTAGTCGCTTGTGTGTTGTTGGCGTTGGATAGATCCATGACTATATTTAATATGCAACTTGTAAGCCGTTCTCTACCGGAAATGACCTTTGAAACTAACAAAGCCATGTTTTTATCTTCGTTATTTTCCCTTATTTGTTGAAACAGACTGAACCCCACGAAAGGACAACTTATTAGGCAACCAACCATTGACTGTAGCAGAACTTTACAAACTAAATAATGGCGAGTATTACTGTTTCGCTTAGAATTTTGTTTGTAATGTTCATCTTGCCATATATCACCTTTCGCACCTCTTCTACGAGTTCCCGTGGTCGTAGAGACTTGAAATTTCTAGGGGATGTTCAAGGGGGGATAGCCATGACCTCAGCCCAATTGATCAATAACTTTTCATTTTACCGACCCTTTAGGTTCCCATTAGAGATAAGTTTATCCGTTCCACTCCATTTTCTTTGTTGACTATAGGGGTTTAAGGTCACATGACTTTAGCATGAAATCGGACAGCCAGCGGCTGAAATATAGCCCACTTCAATCTACGTTTCTGAATTACTATTTTATGTAAATGTATTACTAGCAATTGTATTGTAATATCAATCTAAATATCTGCAAAGATTCAGACTAAAAAATTATCGAAATGTAAGCGAAATTATCGGTAATTTGCAGGAGAAGCTCCCAAGGAAAATACCGCTCTGACGTCCCTCGGCCTGGGATTTTCCATTGTTACGGCTCACTTCATTGGTTATTCTGCACCTTAGTTTCCGGGGGATTTCTATATAGAACCAATCAAACGATGGATGACATTTTTGTGATACCCCAAAATCCGACAATTACAGCCGTAGAAAACAGGATTTATCTGATTTGCTGACTGAAATTTTCTAAATTTCGACTAAATATAACCTACTTTTTTTTTGGTGTCATCCAGATTATAAATATTTGACATATTATCATTCAAATTATTACCATATTAATAAATCTTAGCGGACTATAACATGCAGATTTGAGTTTTAAAATTGTTACTAGTGATTCCGATGGGAAAATACCGCTTATGACGTCACTCAGATATGACTGAAAAGCACTTATTTTGGTGCCATGGCACGCATTGACTGGTATAGAGCATTTTGATAACATTATTGATGTCGATCTCGAATTTTAAAATCCCATAACTTTGGATCTAATTAGAATTTTTTGATGAAATAAAAAAAATGGGTAGCATTTTATATTTTTAAAAAAAAAATTTTCTGTCATTTGAAACTTTGACCCGAAAACCCTATTGACTATTTAGACTCGAATAACAAGATACAGTGGACTCTGTCACATCCAACATCGTGCGGGATCGTTACAATAATTCGGATCACACAGCGTTTCGGAATACCGAGTTTTCTCCAAAACCGAAAATACTGTAACTTCGAAAACCGGAAGTATTTTTATATTGTAGCTTCGAATCACCAGAATGCTATTCCCTTTATAAATGATAAACTTTTCTGTACTTTCAAAATTTTATTATATTAAATAATTAACAATAACAATGCATGCGTACAATATATTCATAAATAGTTTACATGTAATATCAATGCATGCGTAGACTACAATATATTTATAAATATCAATGCATGTAATCGTTTAAAGTAGTTTGCTTAGTTAAGATTACCGGAAGCATATCGTAAGGCGGAGTCCTGGGCAAAACATCTTCTAACAAATGAATTGTTGCGATCATCTTTTCGTCCTTAATCTGTGCGAAGTGTTTAATGTCGTTGAGCATGCGTAGGAATTTTGAATAGGTCAAGTCTGTCGTTAATGTATATTCTTCATCGTCCCCGTCTTCAGTTAATTGTCATTTATAATCTGTCGTTCTATGTCCAGCTTTTCAAGCCAATCAAAGTAAACGGCACCTGTCATCCAAGTTTTGCGATTGGCCGACCAATTGACTGGCAGGTAGATCTTGTCCACTCCCTTAAAACAACTCGGGTTCACTGCTTTACCGATCAAAGTAATCAACACAGTTTTAATCTCACCGATAATTGATTGGTGATTACTTGTTAATCTTTTCTGACTTCACACCCATTGAGTTTTAATCTCACCGATAATTGTATGGTGTCGATTCAATGGAAATTATGTGACAGGACGGCTGATTGATTTCGGAATCCTGAACATA